CAATATAGACTTCTCCCCAGTGTCACCTTTGCTCTGGTCAGGCCTGAATACTCCACTGTGCATTTTGGGCACAAACTCAGGCTGGATGTGGCTCTGAGCAGCCTGGTCTAATGGGTGGCGGCCCTGCATATGGCGGGGGGGTTGAAACTAGATGATCACTACGGTCCTTTTCAACCCAGGCCATTCTATGATTCTATAAAACTAGCTGGTGCTCGTCCAAACGTACAGACTGACTGCCAGCTCCCAGCACACCAGGTTTCTACCCCTTTGCCTTCTTGTGTCTATACTGTTGTCTTGTCTTTCCCTGGTTGTTTCCCTGATGGAGAGGTCCCAGGAGCAACTGGATTTCTGGCAGCTTTCCTTTAGGCAGGTGAGTGCAGTCCTTGTGGGGTGCCAGTGGCCCAGCTGCTAGGGGAAATACAGCAGTGCCTAACCGTGCCAGCAGAGCTTGTGTGTGAGCTGTACAACTCCGCCAGGATCAGAACGTCAAAGTGAAAAAGGAGAGGAAACAGGGCACAAGTGGAGCTGATAGGATGTGTGAGGCTTGCTGCACATGGGATCTGCTCCGTATTTAAACCCCATATTCTACCTCTCCTGTGGCAGTGGCTGAACAGTACTGCTGTTGAGAGGTGACTATTAGGTGCTCCCATCAGTGGGATGCTGAGCAGTTGGGGAGAGTTTACAGAGCTGTCCTCAGAGAAGAAGAAGAGCCAGACAGATCACTGAGAGCCATGAGGGGTTTGCTTTCCCTCGTGCTTGCTGCGAGGGGGTATAGGCTTGTGTACTGCTCCAGCACTGCCCCAGCACCTTCCTCTGGCAGCTGGATCTGAGCCGTGCAGCAGAGGGTGAAGCTCTGCAGCTGCTTGTGGCCTTGGCTGTCTTCACGCCACAGGGATGACAAGGATGGATCCTTGGGGGTACTGAGCCACAGAGGGTCATTTCTGTGAGAGACAGAGCCCATCTTCCCACAGCTGGGGGCAAGGCAGGTGGGTAGGGGTCACAGCAGGGAACCACTTCCACTCCCAGGTCTTCTGCAGGCTTTTCCTCCTTTTGAGGATGTATCCAGTAACTACAAAACAAATCTCAGTAATACACTGCAGTCACAACTGTTACACAGACCCTTCCTGGCCTGTGCCCTCAGATTGATGAGGATGGCAGTTTCAGCTGGGGAGGAGGTCACCATGACTGGTTGGTATCCTGAGGTCTTTGCTGGGAGGAGTGTGATGTTCACAGTGGGGATTTCTTCCTCCTCACTCTCAGGTCCACTGCGGTCACTTCTACACATGTTCTAGCACATCCTGCCCCTCTCTTCATTGCTCTGCAGCTCCATATTATGTCTGCCCTTATACTCAGTGATGCATGCTGGATGCTGGTTCTTTGCTCTCTTACCCGTAACACTGATTTTTTCCAGCTCTTACATTTGTGTCACTGAAAAGAGGTACCCAAGGGTGAGTTCCTGGTGGGGCCTCAGCTATCATCCTGTGCCCACCCCTCCAGGCTTGTACTGCTTTACTCTGCACATTCACCCCAGGGTTTATTCTGTATAACTTCTTGTTATAACTTCTGTATAACTTCAGTCCAACCCTTGAGTTACTAACAACAGACATCACACCATGCCACTGTAAAAGGGAAGCAAAACTAAAACTAAGTAGTTAATGACCACTTGGTAATTAGATGCTGTTACAAACTAAGTCAATCAAGCAAAAGCTCCAGGCAAGTTGAGACAAGCCCAGATGAAGGCTGACAGCCCCAGTCCTGAGGCCTTGCAAGCTCAGTACAGACCCCATCCCCCAGTCATATCCCAGCCCGTTCTTGTGGGCTTATGTCCGCATAACTGCAGGCTTGGAGTGCTGAGCTGCTCCGCTTGGCTGCTGGGTGGTGCAGCCTGTGCACGTGGGGTCTCAGTGCATCATTAGGGCCTCTTCCCTCCATCTGGAGAAGCTAGTCTGCTCTTTGGGAAGGAAGGGGTTCAACCTGGCTCCTGGAAGGTCTCTGGAGATGCCAGCTGGAGAGCTGGAGATGCCAGGAGCTGAAGGCTGGCTGAACAGAACTGGAGAGGTGGCCATCCCTTCCCCCCAAGAGGGGCTTGCCTGGCAGGGATGAGGCAAGGGGACAGTGCCGGGGACAGCCCCAGCCCTCACCTCTCCTGGGATCCGTGGGCAGAGCTCTGCACCTCAGTCCTGCTGTTGCTGGCCTGCAGTTTGCAGCAGGTGTTGATGGGGGGCAGCTCCCCCTCCCTTCAAGAGCATCCCCTGCAGCGACTCCTCTGTTAATAGAGTTAACTGTTAACAGAGTTTCCTCTGTTACCGGCCCTGCTGCCTGGCAGTGCCTGCGGCACAGGGCCCAGCTGGGGCACCCTGGCACCACCCCTTGCTGGCTGGCCCTAGCCCTGGGCTTTGCATTCCCCACGGACCTGTAGTTGCAGCTCAGAGGGTCTCTAGGAGGCTGCCTGTGGCTGGGGGG